TATATCAGGTTGGAAAGACAGTAATGGCACAAAATCTTTAAATCGCTGTAAAAACCCGCAGAAACGTCCGATTTGAAAGTTTGATATATGGTTTGGTAGATCTTCGGATGTTCTATCACGAGACGACCCGCAAAACACCCAAAAACTAATGTACGCGAAAGTACAGGCCTCGGAAGTTTCACGGAAAATTAGGTGAAAGCTTCTAAGCGAGATATCTCAGCATACAGGCATTTGCATACAATACCTTTAACACCAATCGATAGCCCTTGAGGAGTAGATATCGATAGATGTTGAGATCATCAAAATCGGACACTGGATGACCAAGATATGGCCCCTAGAATTTTGGTCCACCTGTTAGAACTTTTCTCGAAATCCCATACATTTAGGCCTGCGCGAGCCAAAAACTGCTGCGGTTGCTTGGGAGGATGACAAAAGCGCCAAAGCAAAAGCGCCAACGACAAAAGCGCCCATGCAGAAGCGCCAAACGAAAAGCGCCCAATGCCAGAAAGCGCCCAATGCCAAAAAGCGCCCAATGCCAGAAAGCGCCCAATGCCAGAAAGCGCTCTATGGGGAAAGCCAACGTATGGAGAGAGGAAACAATTACATAAAATGGCTTTTTTCAAGCTTTGTATGCCTTTTAAACGTTGTTTAGCGATAGGTAGGCTTTGTAGACGGCAAATTATCACCCCGAGCGGGTTGTTTTGGCCTTATTGGGTCTTTTTGGCTTGAATTGCCGTGTTTCAGTCTCTAGTTTTACCGGGTTTGCCTCATGTTCTCACGATTTCTGATGTTTTCAGTCACAATACTGTTGCAAGCACGAAATACTTGTTATAAAACAGTGTTTGGAGGCCAGAACGACGAGAAAAACGCCGCATTTCCGGGTAATGGATCCGAAAATGGCACTAAACAAGCCTTCCACGGCGACTTTATACCTTCTCACATTAGAAATGTATATTCGGACCGGTTCGAGCATGTAGAGATCAAGAAACTACGTCAAAAAAATAGTGGAAAAGCTGCTTTAGAAGAGAACTAGCTATTCGAGTGAAAGAATGCCCTAGGAGGCCAAAATAACTTCACCCAGTCGGTAATTTATGGCCTAGTAGGTCGAACTGCCGCTAAACTACCATAATAACACCAGAAAACCGATTAAAACAACTATTTTATCTCTACCTTATGTAATTGTTTCCTCTCTCCATACGTTGGCTTTCCCCATAGAGCGCTTTCTGGCATTGGGCGCTTTCTGGCATTGGGCGCTTTTTGGCATTGGGCGCTTTCTGGCATTGGGCGCTTTTCGTTTGGCGCTTCTGCATGGGCGCTTTTGTCGTTGGCGCTTTTGCTTTGGCGCTTTTGTCATCCTCCCGGTTGCTTCAGCTCCCAAACCAAAATCCAGAAAATGCATTGATTCTGGAAGGCCCATATCTCGGCCATCCAGTCTCCGATTTTGATGATCTCAACATCTATCGATATCTACTCCTCGAGGGCTATCGATTGGTGTTAAAGGTATTGTATGCAAATGCCTGTATGCTGAGATATCTCGCTTAGAAGCTTTCACCTAATTTTCCGTGAAACTTCTGAGGCCTGTACTTTCGCGTACATTAGTTTTTGGGTGTTTTGCGGGTCGTCTCGTGATAGAACATCCGAAGATCTACCAAACCATATATCAAACCTTCAAATCGGACGTTTCTGCGGGTTTTTACAGCGATTTAAAGATTTTGTGCCATTACTTTCTTTCCAACCTGATACTAACTCTAACAAGAGCTAAAATTTCTAGCGATGCGCCCTCTTTTGCCGTTCCCCTATCCGTATCATCGGTCAAATCGCCGGGGGCACGTAGCTTGTAGTCATGGACTTTGCCCCTTCCCTTTCCAGAACTGTACCCCGAAACAATCTGTGGAGGAAAGCCTGAAAATGACATGTGCACCAATAAAAAGCAATACTTTATCCCAATCCATAAAATGACATTTTAAACACACAATCAGCCGGTACGCGAAAAAGTTTCCATCGACGCATAAATGAGCAAACAAATAGTAAATATGCACTAGATAGGCTTTTTTTTTAAACACCGTAGAAATGACAACGTGACAATTTTCGCAATTTTTAGAAGATCAACGAATCAATAGCATCGTTCGTGGCTTCATCGAGCAGTTTTTTGCTGACGACGTCGGCCCGGTCCTAAAGCTGTATATTAAGGACTCGGCTAAAAAGTCACCTTCTTGAAACTCGCACAGAACGATTCCAACCGCTGCTCATCTTCAACGAGCACTTGCCGTAAAATGATGTGCGCTTTCTTCTCCTAAAAAGCTGTGTCTAAGCAGACAAAAATGCCTACCTCCTCTTTCATGTCCGGAGCGCAAGCCATTTTGCTAGCCACCGATCCGTTGTCAAAGCGACGTGTCACGAATTCAACACCTGAAGCTGCGATAAAAATAACAGAAGCTTTGCAACCTGGGTCCAAAGGTGCAAAAGCGATGAGTGTATTCCGAATCCGCTGAGCCAGGGAATCGCTTGACCAGTCTTGACTCAGTTGACGCAATCTTTCCGCTTCTGCAGAAGCAGCCTCCATGAATAGTTGACTGAAACAATGGGGTAGAACATCCAAAAAAAGTTAGACAGTACCTCATTTGTAGCGTCTGCTCCAAAATATCCGCGTCAACGTTTGAGCGTACCCAGTCAGTTTCGTTTGTCCGCTTCAAGTCATCAAGGCGGATGCGCTTGAGCACCACCTCGCGTACAGCAGATAAAGGCACGTTTTTAGCGATTTGCTGAAGCAGCCTATTAGCGTCACTCTCAACACCAAACCTGTGAAATGTACTCGATGAGCTCGATCGCCCCCCTCGGCTGTCCGAATTGGGGGAATTGGAGCAAATTTCGGTTCACGGGAAGACGCTGTCGATGGAGGGGAAGGAAATGCTGGAAAATCGTTTTTCCAAAAGTGATACTTTTAGAAACCTGATTTTCTAGGCGTATCAAAAAGCGATCCGTGGGCCAGTCGCAGATCTGTCAAGGGTGATTCTTCGTCACCATCTTGTACCGTTTCCATAGGTACATGGCGGAGCTGGTCCCGAGACCTATAAATGGTAGATGATCGTTAATAAAATTGGGTATTGGCGAGATCAAGGTCCCTCCTGTCTCCAAACCTACTTCATAAAGCATTTGATGCCGAGCAAATCATCAAGACTCTCCTCCAATATGGATTTATTGCCGCTCTCCGATAGCGCTGCTTTCAGCTCTCCCTCGATCAAAGACGTCGAGATCTGATCCGCAAAACGCGAGCGCTAAAGGTATCAAAGTTTCGATGTTTGATTGTTTTCGACTTACCGGACTCATCGATGGTGGTGTGTAGGTGGCAAGACGCATCCGTGGTGAAATGAGACTAGCATCGTAGGAACTGAAAATCGAAGTCAAAAGTAAGTCTTTTATCTACCGAGGAGAATGCTCGCGGCGCGGTGACTGCTTTTCGCTGAAGGAGCTGATGAAGTCCTCGATCATATCGCGCCGAGAGACATTGAAGCGGCGCTCCTCAGCGGCCTCCTAAACAAGGTTTTCACAACCGTTCGAATGCTAACCTTTTGTTTCTGGAGATCCCCTGGAACAGGGCGTGGTGCCGGAGGGAAGATCAAGAAAGAATCTTCGGGTTCATTTTCTTTCTCAGCCGATTGTCGGTCTTCAGGCAGCTCATGCAGGTCGATTTTGTTGATCACCGCCGTCTGCTTCGGGGTGGGTGGGCCGGACGTCTAAATCAAGATTCTTAATAATTTTTGCAAATGGACCTGGATCGATGCTTCCTCCAATCCGTCCTCAGGTTTTTCAGTGGAAGCTGACGGCTCAAGAGCGGCATTGAAGGATGGCTCTTCGACCTAAGCGAACTTTAGGAGTAGAGGCAAATGCTTACCAGGATATGCTTAACCGAGCTTTCCGTTTCAATTTCCTCAACGATCTCCACCTCAATCGCCGCGCTTTCGAAAGGCTCGGCTTCTAATTCTGCAGACGCATCCGAGCTTTGAAATGTAACCTTCGGCGTTAGGGCTTCGGATCGGGCAGAAGCAACCCCCTCCTCTTCCGTGTGACCTTCCAAGTTTCCACTGTGAACAGACGACAACGACTAAAGCGGAATCCTACTATATATAAAAAATAGTGTCTGTGTGTGTGTGTGCCACTTTGCATGCAACTTCCGTCAGGCTGTCCGGAGGATATCTCAAGGAGGAAAGGGTATTAGGCTACGTAGACCTCCCGAACCCCCCTTTCCCCCCCTTTACCCCCATTTACCCCCCTCCCCAACCCCCCGAAACCCCCCTCCCCAACCCCCCAAAACCCCCCTACCCGACCCCCCTCCCAACCCCCCAACACCCCCCTCCCAACCCCCCAAAACCCCCCTCCCAACCCCCCTATAGTGTATTAAGCAGAGGGTCGGGGGTTCGCTTCCCGGCCGCGGGGAAACTTTTTGCTTTTTGGGTATTCGGTTCTGGGGGATGTGACAAGCCTAGAGGACAGTCAATTTTCTTTGTCGAACTCTTTTTTAAAACAATACGACCGGGATTTTTACCCGGTGAATTGCTTTATTTGCTTTATTTGAGATTGTGGCTTGTTTTTATTATCGGAATGACACCATTAATTGATTGTAATGCTATGCCCTACACAAATAACTCATTGGGAAACCGTTTTGCCCAAAATGGCAGCGTTTTGCCAGCATTGAGCGTGGAAATGAAAATTCTATCAAAAATTTTGCTTTCAGGAAGATTTGGTGTCTAAAAAGTTGTCAAATCGCAGGTATTTTATATGGGAAAGCTAGTTTACACTTTTTAAATAGATTTCGTGGTAGAAACCAACAAAAAAATTAGTTTAATTAATTGTTATCCATTGGTAGCAAGCAAAACCGACAAAACTAACCAGTTTCCCACTTTTTTCGTGTCGTAACGGTTGTTCAATACTTGCTGCAGCTAATAGTAAGCAAAAACATAAGTATAATAAGTGTAGTTAACTTATAGTTTATGTATCGAACCCCCAAAAACCCCCAAAACCCCCCAAACCCCCAAAAACCCCCTCCCAACCCCCTCCAACCCCCCAAAAACCCCCTGCCCAACCCCCCGAAACCCCCTCCCCAACCCCCCAAAACCCCCCTACCCAACCCCCCTCCAACCCCCCTAAGTAGGGGGGTAAAGGGGGGGGGGGTTCGGGAGGTCTAAGGCTACGTATGATACGTCATTAGGTGCGTAATGGCCACGAGATGACTGCACGTATATCAGATTTTACAAAATTCGTAGTTTTCGACATTAAAATTATGTTTTTTTGTTGTAAAATCGGGAACCCTCTTTGGTAGGAACTAATTTGCATAGGCCGGAAGTCGCGGGACCTATATAATAAGCGAGAGAGTGACATTTTTCATTATTCGCATCAAAATGGAGAATCGTAGACAAGTATGCAAAGTGAAGGATATTATGGGGTTGATAGCCAGGGTTGAAAAGTCGCGAAGCGGCTTTTCAACCCTGGTTCTTTT